GATCGTAACAGTCCGGACCTGTTCTCCAGAGCCGATGGAAGCTGCAAGTCAAGCCTACTGCAAGACACCGGAGCGGCAGAACAGCTGGCAACATCAGAGGTCCAACAGCACAGATACAAGTCCAGGTATCATCGCCACAGAGGATAGCAAGATCCATATTCATCTGGGGAGTCCATACATCCAGTCCCTGACAGGTATTACCCACAGCATCCCGCAGCCTGTTGGGCCATACTATCTCCGACATGAGCAAAGGACTCAAGTGCTCGCCAGTGGCTGTCATGTCAAAGGTGTCGGCAAGATTACAAGTAGCATTACAATATCCCCTGCTACCTGTACAGCTGCACATTCCTCACACATAACAGTAAGTGGCCTTTGTGATTAGGTGAGAATGTATATATTCTGAACATATTCTCAGTCCTATTTCTGTATTATACAACTAAAAAAAAATCACTTTGCCTAATGAGAATCTAGTTTGTTGTATTTTGTAACAATCATGAAATAAATGCTTTGTGGTGTGTTTTATAAGAACCGTTGTAAAGCCTGCTTTGTGTAGTTAGTGTGTCTTTAGACTTTAAGACATGTGTTTAGTGTCTGTACTCTGTATGCGCTAAGTGAGACCTCAGTGCAGCCAAATATTTGATGTGCTTTTTACAATTTTCTGTTTCATCAATGTGTTTTTTTTCTGCTCATTAAAAGTGTTTGTGTTCATTTTATTTATTTACCCTGAGTATTTTTGAGAGCAGGTTGGCATCGATATAGCTAATAAATTGTCCGGCCAGTGTGGAAAATAGTTGGAATCAGAAAAGATACCTGGTTTGATGTTTTCTCCCTCCAGGGCTAACTCAACACTTTAAAGCACCACACATCAAGGACTTGTAAGGGAGGAAACTAAGACGTACCGCGATAGAAAAGGGTTATGTGTTTGCTAAACTTGATTCAAAGGCAGCCACTATCTCAAACAGAGCAAATACTTCATGTGTGTGCGTGTGTGTGTGTGTGTGTGTGTGTGTGTGTGTGTGTGTGTGTGTGTGTGTGTGTGTGTGTGACACCTCCCAAAAGTTTGCACTGGAAAACTCGGCTCATGTTTTTCTGACACAATTAAACTTGGAACACCTAGTGGTGGTGGGTCTGTTCAGGCTTTATGGTGGATCGGCCATTAAAAGCCCATTCTTCCCTGGGCGTAACTTATACAAAAGGTAAGTTGTAATTATCAGTCTTAACATGTTTAAAACTGAAAGCTGATATATGAACAAATCCATTAACACATTTTCTCAGCCTTTCCCCATTTACTGTCAAAGAAACACTTATGTGGCCACTTATGTTGCCACAGCAGGCAAAGCCATCTGCACATCTCATGTTGCCAGCTAAACCTCCCAACGCAGTAAAATGACACCGTTTCTGTCATGGTTTTGACAATTTTCTTACTTTATAGCCATTTACTGTGAATGTGAAACATGAAAGTTCAAGTGTCAAACTAGTCCGTGGTCTGGGTTTCACCTAATTGGTAATCTAATGTTTACACACTAAAACTAAACCACTTCTAATAACTTTTTGCTGTAAAAACACGAGTTCAAATGGCTCTGTAAGGTATGCATGAAAAGGATATCCATCTAGAACAGAGGTGTCAAACTCAAGGCCCGTGGGCCAAATCCGGCCCACGACCTCATTTTATGTGGCCCTGCAAGAGCGTGTAAAGAATATAATGTACAATAGGTGTAATTGTTGAATATTGGCTTTCAATTATTTGCCCTAGACTTCTGCTTTCAGACGTAGTTATTTATGAAGTTATTACCGGAACTGATAATAATCCAATGCAGAGCCGATAATGTAATATAATACATTATTTAATATATATTATACATGTATATTTATAAAGAGAAGCCAAGAGAGTGCACATCTGTAATCAAGGCAAAAGGGGGCTAATTTGAAGAATCTAAAATATAAATCATATTCTGGATTTTTAACACTTTTTTGTTTACTAGATAATTCCATATATGTTATTTTATAGTTGTGATCTCTTCAGTATGAACCTACAATGTAGAACATTATTGAAATAAATAAAAACCTTCAAAGGAGAAGGTGTGTCCAAACTTTTGACTGGTACTGTTTATTTATATAGCTACAACCGGCCCTTTGAGTGTAACCATAATGCTGATGTGGCCCGTGATGAAATTGAGTTTGACACCCCTGAACTAGAACATTGAAAGGAAAGATGAATGTGGTTGCCAACAATAACGAAATGATGTAGCACGCTAATCAGGAGCAGTATACATAATTTATGTTGTAAAATATTGCATCAGTGTGTCCAACTACCCAAAGAAAACCACATGAGGTATGGCGATGATTTGTACAAGTTGTAGCCTTCTAACAAAGTTATCGTTTTTATTTTTTCATTTTAATCATCAATCACTTAATCTCATCTTTCTTAAAAGGTCTTTGGTCAACGTTTGCTTTAAATCTTCTCTATAAATAAGCCAACTTGATGATTATCTGTATTGAGATTAGCCAATGTCTTTAAATAAATTAGAGACTAGCATCAACCCTAAACCCTTAATGACAGCATTCATGGATTTAAGTCAACAACAGATCAACTTTTAAAAAGGTCAACACCACAAAGTATATGATTACATAGTGTGGCTGGAATAAACTGCCTGTTAAATAGCTTTTGATATAAATTGTGATGAGCTGTGTCGTCTAAATAAGAAACTAGCTGACAGTATTGGGGGACACCCTGAGGCTTGTGGTAGCACAGGCTGGAAGATATCAGGTACATGAGGACAAACCTGGAGAAACATCAGCCACACTGACATCACCGGCTGGCAAAGTGGAAACAGGCATTTGATGACGGTGTTAGGCAGACTGGAGCGTTACAGAGACCTCATGAGAGTCTGTGTCATCAGTGTGAGCATTTAGCCACAAGACACATCATCATAACAGTCATCCCGCTTCTCATGAACCACTTCTTCATTCTCAAGACTTCAAAGTCAGTACCATGCTTTAACACACTTCAACTCCCCTTTTCTGTCTTGTCAATTTTCAGTCGGCCTCACAGCCTTTTCTGTCAAGCAGCTTACAAATGCAAGCAAGGATGGGATGCCAGACAGGGAAAAGGGACTAACCTAGAATAATAAGAGCTCTCACTCCAAAAAGTACATTGGTTTATATGATTATTGTATTGATGCTTTAAAAAATCTTAATCTTAATACAAACAGATTTCACAATAAAGTGCGAGCAAATCTGCACGAGTGAACATTAGGTAAACAACGGATAGTTAATCCTCTTTTTGAAAAAAAAAATCAGATTCCTCTTGGGTCGCTAAAGACGCCTGGTCCAACAAGGAGTCCCAAGACCAAAGGATTAACTAATTAAACAAAGGACAGAGCTCTCAATACTTGACAGATACATGGAAAATCTCAGCACATACAGGGGAAATACTCACCCTGAGAATGTCCAACAGACATGTGATCACAACATGGGTAAATATGTCAGCCCAATTATTCAAAATAATACCTTTCATAATAAAAAGGTGCAAACTAGATTAAATAATTGTGATTGGAAGGCTAGGCAGCATCAACAGGATTCATCCCTTCTCTCTTGATGATGTATCACTTCATTGTTTTTGTCCAATTAGGCCTGCACATTGACAGAGAACCTCCGCTCCCACCACTCATTAGTGCAATAAGCAGTAATACAGGTGTGCACGAATGCGTGATGAAGGCATTTGTCATTTGAAATACTTAATTGCCATGTGAAACAAAGGCATTCTTATACCCGTGTGTGCCCTGGATACATTTGGAAGGAGACAAGTCTACCAATGCAATGAGCCATTTACAAGATGGAGTAAGTAGAGTACACCAAAAGGATGCTATTTTATGTTATTTCAGTAAAAGCAGTAGCAATAAAAAGTAAAATATTACACAAAATAAAAGTACTCATGAGGCAGAAGGGCCCTTCTCATTATAATGCATTATTTATATAATTTGCTATATTATCTGTTTATTATTACTGTAACATCACTATTACCTTAAACAACTAATACATTATTATTTAGTAGTTCAACCCTTAATAATATATGATTTAAGAATATTGTTTTTTCTGAGTACGTTTTTGATATAGTAATGTATGCGTTAAAATAAATATAATTAAGTACATTTACCTAGGAAACGGTATGGAGAAGTATAACACATCATATATTTAAATAATGTAACAGTGTTAATGGAAATATTCTATCTTAAAGTACATTGCACTTTAGTAGATGAGTACATGTTTTAATTGACTGTTTGCTACTGGTCTGTTTGTGTGTTTGGTTGCAAGTGAGAGACAGAGAGAATAGGTCTGTTTTGTCCACTAATTACAACGTTTGTTTGTATTACCTTGAAAAAACACATTATCCTCGGAAACTCAGCAACACTGCTGTCCATAGTAATCAGGCCAACGATCCTTAAGGAACAGACTGCCCTCTATTGGTATGCAGAGTGCATGGAGCTATGACAGAATAGCCGCAGGGAAATATCAGTGTTGATTTATGAAGAAGAAGAAGATGGACATAGCAGAATACATGCAAAGTTAGAGGAGAGCAGCTAACTGAAGTTAAAGTGAAAGTACAGGGCATGACAGACAACTTTAGAAACTACATAACATATCATGACCCACGCGCACACACAGACAACTAACACACGTGTTTTCACACATCACCTGGTACCAACACTTGCTACCAACGTAACTCCCCATGTCCTTCCAAAACACAGGTAAGCTGTACAAAAACACACTGGTGTGTTGTATTAAACGTGTCACTATGGTTACAGTCGTCAACGTATTCAGAATGTACGTTAACTTAGCGTAAGTTAACAGCAACTCACAAGCTAACGTTAGCTTACAGTTAGCAACCGATATTTCTCGCACAGCAACAAGCTACTCAGATTTGAATAATGTACAAAAACCTCCCGGACCACACGGTTGAGAAACATTAGAAATACAGACACTAAAGTCAAGCAATATACCTGATTTATCCTCGTGTGCCCACCACTCGTCACCTAAATCGTCTCCCATCTTCCTGAAACAAGCTAGCAGTCTGTCCAATCCGAATCTGCCGCTGAGAGCATGTATTGCTAGGGGTGTGTTCACAAGCACAACGTTTAAAACATGTGGCTAAAAGCCGTCAACTGGGCTCCATGAAAACTAAAATAACACTCGTTTTCTTCCCTCAGTATTTCATTTAGTTATATGATTTGGTTTTGCCACACACAAGAATACTTTTTAAGAATGTACCTTCCCATTGCATCGAGGTAAGTAACTGTTACGAAGTTAGGGGACTGTAACGTTTACTATGCAGGAGACACATTTGTTTTGCCTGCTTTCATTTAACATGTGGAGTTGTTTCCATTTGCGATGAGTACACTTCTTTGTATAAACATTGTGAACACTACAATACTGCAAGTCTCTTTATCTCAGAGTCATGAGTAGGGCCAAAACAACCACTATGAAATGGGCTTGTCTTTTTTTTAATAAAGAAAATAAAGCTGAATGATTGGTCAACACTCTCACTCAATATGCTAAAAAAGATAAGCTGACACTTTATTTTATTCAGGCGTTAAGGAACACTTTTAATGCTAAATGAGCCTCATGATTATGAAAAGTAAAACATAATAATAGTGAGGCAGATTTGTGACATTGTGCTGTATACATAAAATGTACTGGACTTGAGCTAAAATGGATTACATTTACAAATGGGTTCTTTTTACCATTACGATTTTGGAAGACACGTTTTAGGGGATGGCCATTCTTATTTTGAGGCAGTATTGGTGATACAATTTAAAAATAAACCGATCAATAATTTGTCTTTTTGCCAATATAAATGCCTTGAAATGACTTGCTACATATTGTGGTAAAGTTACTTTAGGTCTTAACAGTTATATATTGAATCAGTTGTCTTAGGACAAACATGACAGGTAATCATTTTAAATGTGTAGTTTTACAATGTCCCCTCCATCACATAGCCTACCGTACATTACTGCATTGCCTGTTGTGGAAATGAATGAATAATGTTATGTATGGATCCCTTTTCAAAATACTTTAAGAAACTTTAATATATAATAATAACATAAAACTGCTCTCAAATAAACAACAACAACATGTGCATAATGACAGGTGCAATTATAGCACTCATTATTTATCATAAGGTGACATGTCTACTGAAGAGGAGAGCTGTGAATTGCTGTTTTACTGAGTATTTCTAATCATTTTCAATTCCACAATACTTTTAAAAACGTTTGTCATTATGGTTTGGGTGTATATGGTCTTATTTTCCAACGCACAGAAGAAAGGAAAGAGAAGAGAACAGAGGAGGAGGATGTGTCTGGAATAGTGCCCTCTTTTGTGCAGCTGTAGCGAAGAGGAGGGACAGGTCCTCCGGGAGTAATTGTATGCTTTTTTGTTTTTCTGTCGGAATAACACATTTCTGGCTGGTAGAGGCTATGAGATGTTTGATTAGAGCTTTGCCACCGAAAAAGAACAGACTGATTACTGGGGAAATTACAAGGGGTTCAGAATGGTTATGCTGTATAACCCTCAAAATGGGGGAAGAAAACAAATCAAGAAATAAAAAGGAAGGATGCAGTCAACACATTGTGCGGAGGTCTGCCAACATTCAGGGAGGACAATGGACTCTAAATGGCAGCTTTGTATGTAATTAAGCACCATTCCTGTAAAACACAGGCTTCTACCTCATTTGTCATTCTCTCTGTTCAACGTTTGGCTGCATATTCACTAGGAACAATATGCGGTACAAAAACTCCTTTTTTTTCTGGACCCCACGGAAACTCGTGAAATTTTAAAATGAGCTTTTCCTGCGTTAATCAGCCAACCTGCATGTGAAATATTAAAAAGAAAGGAAAGGGTAATCTCCCCAGGAGGGTTCACACTTAAAAGGATCATAAAATGTCAGACAAACATTTTCTTTTAACACAAAGAGAACATGGAAATCCCCCTTATTCTTTGGGATTTTATAAATTGAGACACCATTTTGTTTATTCCTAGTGAGATTGCTGTTGTTGACGAAGAGGCTGTAATATAATATTATTTGTATTTGCAGATGAGAAGAAGAATATGGTAAATACAGTATTCAAATAAACTCTGACATTTTGAAAATTAACTCCCCAAAATGAAGATCAATATTTCCCTGGAAAAACATCAACTCGATTCTTTTACAGGTTGAGTTTTTGTACATATTAAAGCAACAAATTAAATGTGTGTATTTTTCAAGACGCTGGAGGAGGATTTTGTTATTTGGATAGATTCAGAGCCAAGCTGTTTCTATGCTGATCTTCACACCTATAAGAATGAAAGAATTACACTTTTTTTTATAATAGTTTGGCAACACAGAACAAATCCATTAACAAAGAGATCCACATTAAATCATAGAACTCTGAAAAGTTTTGAGCATTCTGAATAACAGTGAAAGCGAAGATGAGCTTAATTGTAATTAAAGGCAGACAGCTGTCTCCTTTGGCCTCTGTGATTGCTCACTGTGGAGCTTTGGTGTTATCCTGTTTTTGTTTTTTTTGGTGCAAGCAGCTGTTCCTCCACGTTCTCTTTTTAATGATCACAAGAATATGATTTGTTTTTGGTTTAAAGAGAGGGAGGGTCAGGAAAGTGAGAACGGACTCAGACTAATTATGGCTTTGAAGAAGTTCAGTGCTGATTTATAACGCATCATTAAAGGCATCTAGACTTGGAGAAGGCGTATGACCGAGTTCCCAGGGAGTTACTGTGGGAGGTGCTGCGGGAGTATGGGGTGAGGGGGTCTCTACTCAGGGCCATCCAATCGCTGTACTCCCAAAGCGAGAGCTGTGTCCGGGTCCTCGGCAGTAAGTCGGACCCATTTCCGGTGAGGGTTGGCCTCCGCCAGGGCTGCGCTTTGTCACCAATCCTGTTTGTAATATACGTGGATCGGATTTCGAGGCGTAGTCATGGGGGAGGGGGTCTGCAGTTCGGTGGACTAAGGATTGCACCACTGCTTTTTGCAGATGATGTGGTTCTAATGGCTTCATCGGTCTGCGACCTTCAGCACTCACTGGATCGGTTTTCAACCGAGTGTGAAGCGGCTGGGATGAGGATCAGCACCTCCAAATCTGAGGCCATGGTTCTCAGCAGGAAACCGATGGACTGTCCACTTCAAGTAGGGAATGAGTCCTTACCCCAAGTGAAGGAGTTCAAGTATCTCGGGGTCTTGTTCTCGAGTGAGGGAACAATGGAGCGTGAGATGGGCCGGAGAATCGGAAGCAGCGGGAGCGGTACTGCAGTCGCTTTACCGCACCGTTGTGACGAAAAGGGAGCTGAGCCAGAAGGCAAAGCTCTCTGTCTACCGGGCCATTTTCGTTCCTACCCTCACCTATGGTCATGAAGGATGGGTCATGACCGAAAGAACGAGATCGCGGATACAAGCGGCCGAGATGGGTTTTCTCCGCAGGGTGGCTGATGTCTCCCTTAGGGATAAGGTGAGAAGTTCGGTCATCAGGGAGGGACTCGGAGTTGAGCCGCTCCTCCTTCGCATCAAAAGGAGCCAGTTGAGGTGGTTCGGGCACCTAGTTAGGATGCCACCTGGGCGCCTCCCTAGGGAGGTGTTCCAGGCACGTCCAGCTGGGAAGAGACCAAGGGGTAGACCTAGGACCAGGTGGAGGGATTATATCTCTTCGCTGGCCTGGGAGCGCCTTGGGATCCCCCAGTCAGAGCTGGTTGATGTCGCCAGGGAAAAGAAAGTTTGGGGCTCTCTGCTGGAACTGCTACCCCCGTGACCCGACCACGGATAAGCGGGAGAAGATGGATGGATGGATGGATGGATTAAAGGCATCTATTTCCTACCTGTTCTCATACCGTGTATTTACACTGGGATAAAATGAGAGAATTTCTTCTCTATCTAAGATTAGTACAGTAATTATTTTAAAAACTATTCTTTGTTTTACCTTTTGAACAACATAAAATGGATTAGTTTTTTGTATATTATAGCGTACATTGGATTTAGATCTTCAGCCCGTTTCTTTATCTAAACCAGAGTACAGTTTATTTAGGGACTGTTTTTTTGCAGTCGATCTCGGTTGAATGATAATATAAATGACAGTAAATTATTTTATTGCGGTATAACCTTGTCTAATTATTAGGCCACAGTCCAAGGAGAATAAAGTTATGCATAAAATAGCCCTCTCAATTTTAATGAGGGTTGAAAAACTAAAATGATGATTCAAATGAATATAAAATGAAATACAGTAACTGTCATGTTTATATGCCGCAGCTAAAACTAAGGGTCAGCAAGGTAGTCAACAGCTTGACAGCAAGTATGTGACCAAGTGCAAATAAACAGGAAGTGACCTTGAGCTTTTGGAAACTTCAGCACATGAAACTTGCAGGTCTCCAAGTTACAACTGTATTCATGAGCATCTGGCTGAGCCTGACCTGCATGGAGAAGAGCTGCATCCTAAACACCGGGCCAACATTAAGTCGTTGCAGAAGCTCAATGTCAAGACTTAAATCTGAAAAAATACATGTCAAAGAACTACTTAGATCTATTACTAAAAGCAGCAATACTGCATTGTAATAATCCTAGTTATTAGTAAATGTCCCACATTAAAAAATCTACAGAAGTATTAACATCAAAATGTATTTACATTTACAGAAACAAAAGTACTTTTATGTAGTTTGGCATTTCTCAGAATATAATCAAACTAATTATTGATACATTCATGTGGTCATCCCTTCAATGCACTTGGTAAGAAAGCATTAGTTGAATTACTTTATTTACTGCTTGGTAGTTTAATCTGTTGTAATATATCATTTATTTGTTTATTTATATTTTGTACTAATCTAAATCTGCAAAGTAGTTTAAAACTAAATCTGTAAAACAATGGAGTATACCGTAAAACTACTGCCTACACAATGTATTGGAGTAGAAGAGTAAAGTAGCATATGGAAAAACATTAAAGTAAAGTACAAGCACCTTTAACTTTTAGTACAGTATTTGAGTACATATACTGTTACATTCCACCAGTGTCCAAATCGCATATTGACAACAATTATAAATGGATCGGAACATATACTACAATTTCTTAACTGCAATTTATATAACTA